TTGTCACACAAGAAAGCATTGCATCTTTATCTGCTGCACAGGCTAGCATATGCCTTGGGCTACCAGACCCAGAAGGTCTGAGAGATTTTCCTGTTAGTGAGGAAATGAAAAAACTGACCTACTTTGGTCACAACTCAGTGTCCACAGTTTGGGCAGAGCCCTGGTGGTGGGTCAGGCATTGGGTTAGTGTTACCAAAATACAGGTGGAGTCCTCTGTGCCCCTTGGCAACCTTGGAATTGGCTCTAAGTGTTAGCACTTCTGTTTTCACTGGAACCTTTTTTCATTAAACACTTCAAAAGCCATGTTCGAAAGATCTCTGAAGAGTTTGAGGACCATGCCTTAAGTGTATCTGATTTTAGACACACTTTACTTGTTTTTAGTTACTCGTTTTAGCCTCAACCTAGAAAACATATTCAGGAAGTTTAATCAAGCTTGTCATTGTAAATGCCTTACATTTATACTTTGCATGACTGGGAATACAGTTCTGAGCATTAAAAAATTTCATCATTTATAAGGAGACGGAGCATCAACTTGCATGTCATAATTATTTCTAACAGTTTACAAGTTAGTGGCTTTTTAAAGATTAAGATTTTACAGCTTTATCCCTGTAAGTTTGATTTTAATATGCCCATAAGATACTATAGTCTCAATTGATATCCATATCCATATAGGATAACTCCATTTTTAGCCCTAGGAAAAAGTCATTTATCATTTTGTGCTGGATGGGTGATTCTGGACAGATGATGGAGTCTCTTAGGGCAAAGCATAGGCTGGAAAAAACCTGATTTGTATAATACGGAGTTACTCAGAGCAGGACACATCTGATTCCAACAATCAAAATGGCCACAGTGTTAGTATTCATTCAGCAGGCTGTGTTTAGGCTCATGGATCTCTCAGTAAGTCCTTGGGTTGGGAGGGGTGAGTTGCTTTCTTTTTGCTATGGAAAGACAGGTTTGGATAGACACAGTGGGAATGCTGAATGGAGTTGGGGTGGTAATCCCTGCTACTCACACTGGAAATGCTTTCCTGGGATGTTCTCTGTCCTTTCTTTATCCCCCTACCACTGTCCTTCTGTTGTTACCTTTTCCTTCCCAGCAAATGTTAACAGTTATTGCATAGTAAAACACACAGTATATACAATTTGATGACTTTTGACCCCTGTGACACAGTCTCTAGTCAAGATAATGAGCAGGACAGTTCCAAGTTCCTTCTGCCCTTGGGCTGCATTGTTGTCCTCAGGTCAGAGACTCGTCATTTTACACATTCTGGAACCCTCAGAGGACCTGGGACTCTTCAGTGGGTGTCCATACCCTTGAGGCCCTAGTTCAGAATCTGGTCCATGTCTGGACCTGAGACAGATGTCTTGAAGACTAAAATGTTCAGGGTTTTTTGATGAACTTGGCAAATTAGTGCCTGTTCTTAGGCTAACTACATTATTAAGTCTCTATTCATCCACCCAGTGAAATTTGTCAAACACTGGTAGGTATCATCAAGCTAGGTACCAGAAAGTTTGCCTGTCACAATGAACAGGATTAAGAGGTAGGCTTGGAGATATGAGTCTCCATTTAAGTAAGTGAGAGGCCTGGTGTGTGCAAATCCGGGAACCAGTGTGTCGTGAGAGGAGCTAGTGCAGGGGAGGCCCAGCCCCAGAAACTGATGCAGAGTGCTGGGAGGTAGAGAGGGCTCCCACCAAACAACATAAGCCTGGAGATTAGACACAGTGGTGGCTGGTGAGCTTGCTGGGCATGGCTGCTGTGTGGAACTGCTTCTTAGAAAGTGCTGGCTCCTAGAGAACTGACCAACCAGGAGTTCTGGCAAGTACCTGCATGCTGTGTCTTCCTCTGTGCCATGGGTCTCCCCAGTGCTTGACAAGATGGTTTATTGAACATCGTGGCTATGATCATGGCCTGAGGTAATTTGCTTGTCCAGAGCCTGGCAGAATATACTTAGCAACTCTTTACTCCATGTGGAAGAAATGATTGATGCTTGGTAATACCTAAACAAAACAACACAACAGTATAGCCCTGGCTAGTCTACAACTCACAGTAACCTAGCTGTGCCTGTGGTTTTAATTTGTGCTCCTCTAAGAGCAAGAAATTTTGAGCAGCTTGTGTTTCTTTGGTAAAATATCTGGTGATTTTTTTTTTTAACCTTTAAAGAAGTTAAAGTATCCTGTCTTAGGGTTTCTGTTGCTGTGATGAGATACTATAACCATGGCAGCTCTTATAATAGAAAAGCTTCTAATTGGGCTGGATTACATTTTCAGAGGTTTAGTCAGTTATCATAATTGAATGACATAGCGTCTTGCTGGAACACATGGTGCTGGAAAAGTAGCTGAGTGTTGTGCCACTTGACCCACAGGCAGCAGGAAGTGGTCTTAGACACTGGGTGTGGCTTGAACATATATGAGACCTCAAAGCCTACCTCCATGGTGACACACTTCTTCCACCAAGGCCATACCTACTTCTACAAAGTCACATCTTCTAGTAGTGCCACTCCCTATGACAGTATGGGGCAAATTACATTTAAACTACCACATATCCCTTTTATAATTCTTCAGTTTTAATAGTTCTTCACACACACACACACACACACACACACACACACACACACACACACACATATGTACACACCAGGGGTGCAAGTAAAGAGGGCATCAGGCAGGCATTCTCCTTTATCACTCTTTACCTATTCCTTGAGGTAATGTTTCTCTCTAAACCGGAGGCTCAGTTTCCTCAGTCAGGCTGGAAGCCAACAAACCCCAGAGATGCTCTATTACCACACACACACACACACATACACTTGGAGTCGGGATTGCAGGCTTTCATCAGGAATGCATGTGTAACATGGATACTGGAATCCCAAACAGGGCCTCATAATGGTGTAGCAAGTGTTCTTAATTCCTGAGCAATCTTTCCAGCTCTCATGTAATTTTTGATTAATGCTAGAATGATGTAACAGGAAGAATATATTTTATTAAATGGTGGAACTATTGGGACATAAAAAAACAATAAAAAAGGATGATGAATCCACACATGACTGTGTGATGAGTATTGACAGCATCGTGTTATATAAACAGCCAGGCTGAAGGCACACATGTCTCCTGACTCCTATGTAGATGGGGAGGAGAATGTGGGGACAGACACAGCAAGGGGGTTTCCTTGTTCAAAGATTATCAAACTATATCTAAATTGGCATATTTTATTAGATATAAATTATATTTTAAAAGACGACTTTTACCTGCACCTTGGTGTCACACACCTTTAATTCCAGCACTTAGTGGCAGAGGCAAGTGGATCTCTGAGATCAAAACCAGCCTGGCCTTCAGACTGAGTTCCAGGACAGCCAAGGCTACAGAGAAAAAACCCTGTCTTGAAACAAACAAACAAAACCCCAAAACAAAACCACCACCACCAACAAAAACAAGAAAAGAACAGAAAGAGAATACATATTACTTTTTGCCTTAAAAATATCTTGCTTTTTCTTTTTAATACACTAGGCATTTTACTTAAATAAAATTGTTTATTTTTATGTACATGAGCATTCTGTCTGCATGCATATCTGTGCACCACTTGTATGCTTTGCACCGTTAAATGCCTGAGACCATACTGGATCCCCTGAAACTGGAGTTAACAATGGTTTGAGATGCTGTATGGGTGATCTTCTGGAAGAGCAGTCAGTGCTCCTACTTGGTGAGCCATCTCTTCTGTCCCAAAGAAGTTGTTTTTAAAAGTTAAAAAGTAGTAACTATTTCAAAATTGGGCAAATATTACTTTTCATTAATTTCTCTAGAGCAAAATTAGAAACTACAAAAAGGAGCAGGAGAACATACTGAGAACAAACACAGTTCAAATGTCACTTTCTTGTTGTTTGCTTCCAGAAGCTTTTAGAAATCAGTTGTTCCATTGTGGGAGGATTTGGAGCTGTAGGAGAAAACCTAAGAAGTGTCAGATGAGATGACTGGGTGGGTAAAAGTGCTTGCAGCCAAACCTGATGACCCGAGTTCAATCCCTGGAACTGACATTGTGGAAAGAGAACTGAGTTCTGCAAGTTGTCCTCTGACCTCCATTAGTGCTCTGAGGCATGCACAAGTGGATACATATGCAACTAACTAACTAACTAAATAAAATAAACAGAGTACCGCATCAAGTGGTTCAGAGGGGAAAGCAATGGGCTGGGGCAGGGAGAGGTAAGCCTTTTTAGATATAAACCTTTAGGAGCACAGCGTGTGAGTGTGGGTGTGCATGTGAGGGTCAGAGGACAACCGTGGGTATCAGTCCTTGCCTTTCACTTTGTTTGAGACAGGGTCTTTTCTGTCGTTGCTCACTGTATGCTGGCTAGCTGGCCCGTGAGCTTCCAGGGACCCCCCCCATTACCCCCTCCCCTCTCCTCACAGGAGTGCTGGGAATTCACATGTCTGGATTTACATAGACTCTGGGGATCTGAACTGAGGACCTCATGCTTGTGTGACTGTGACAAAAGCCTTACCCACTGAGCTCTTTCTCCAGAGCCCACACATGAGTCTGTTTACATACGTGTCTTTAGGACTATTTGAACTTGATTATGAGAACGCACAACTTCTAGAGACATGAAAATCACCTGAGGCATTAGGGGCATAGTCCAGTGGTGGAGCACTTACCTAACACTCACCAGCCATGGGTTTCAACCCCAGCATGAGAAAATGTCACTAGCACAGACCAATTGCTGTCCCTGTGGGGTGAGCATACAGGGGCCAGAGGGAGCAGTGACCCTGAAGTATTTGCTTTGGTTCATTTCAGTTTACCACAGGAAGGGGTGCTCAGTGGCCTGAGGACTTGGGGGCCCAAGGGACCTTGAGGGCCAAGGGAGCAGCTGGAGTCCTGAGCAGGAAGTGAACAACCTTCTTTACCCTCTGAGTTCTCAGCGGGGCTGGCGCTCCAGCTGGGATTGGGGCTGCCTGAGATAGGGCACAGTGGTGGCTGTGGTGCTCAGGATGACCTCTGAGTCTGAGGAGAGGCCTGGAGGGGAGTCAGGTCCAGGAAGGGGGTGAGTAACTGGATCCTGTGCTGCTGTTTTTCAGGAAGACCAAAATGCTACTCACTTCACTTTGGAATCCTTCCCCTCATAGTGGTTGCCTTGGTCTTCTTTGGGTAAGAATACAGGCTGGTGAGGAACAGCTCCTGAGACCCTGATGGGGACCCTGAGCCGTGGGCATCCCCACTACCACGGCAGTGACGAGGATGCTCTTGGCCACTCACACAGTGGCATGTCCAGCTTTTGCTTGTCCCCATAGGCCAGGCTTGGTTGCAAGACAGATGTACCCCTCTGATTCCACAAATGGGGCTGGATGCCCAGGCATATGGCCCTAGCTGTGAGGGTGGACCTGGAGAAGGAGAGGAAGGCAGGCCTGGCGCCTGGACTGCAGCCCTCTCTAGATGCAGACAGTCTGTGAACACTCACAGAGTAAAGACACTGCCATGTCTACCGAGGCTTCTGCAGACACAGCCAGGCAGGAGCCCCTGATGCGGTCTTGGGGCTGTCTGCAGCTGCTTCAGGTGTCCAGATGCAGGCCTTGTCCCCAGGGCCCTTCTTGCCACCTCTTCTTCCAGCAGGGTGAGCTTGCTTAGTCCTGTCACCTGGCCCTGCATCCCCACTGGGAAAGTCTGTGCTCACTGGGTACAGTGGTGCATTTTGGAGGGAGGGACAGACAGCCAGTCTCAGGTCTGTGTCCTGAACAGCTGCCTCTGTGCATGTCCTTCCTGCAGCTATGGGTTCCCGAGCCACAGAAGCCAGGAACTGGGAGACTCAGAATCTGTGACTAGGTGAGTGGGTATAAAATGTATGTTGTGTGTTGTGTGTGTGTGTTGTGTTTTTGTGTGTTGTGTTTGTGTGTGTGTGTGTGTGTGTGTGTGTGTGTGTGTGTGTGTGTGTGTGTTGTGTGTAT